ATGTTCAGGAAGAAGAGCTGTGTCTGACAAGGGCTTTTGTCCTTTTGTCAGCAGGGAGTTCAGACAACACACACACACACACACACACACACACACACACACACACACCATAGACAGCCAAATGGCCAGCACTTCCTACCAGGAGCTCCCTATCTCAGCACACTTGTTGGTCCAGATGGAATAAAGGTGATGGTAGAGAGTGGAACCCTGAAAGGGATGGGGAGGACTGTCTAATGGGGTGACCCTGAAAGGTCGGAGGGTTAGAACCCAGGGCTCAAGGAGTGCTGCAGCCAATAGAAGACTGTCTGCTCTCCTATTTGGAAGGGGCCTGCATGAGGACACCTAGAACCCTGGTTTCTATGTCCCCTGAGAAGGAGGAAGGACAGACAAGTAGTCTGTTGAGAATGAGGAGTGGAGTGGAGGAGGAAAGAGTGAGTGTGCATGACTCTAAGGCACTCTATAGGGCCCGTTAGGCTCTAGAGCTTCATCATGTAGCCTGTGGATATAACCTCTAGAGGTCCTGGAAGATAGGGAAGCTTCCTGCTCTGTAGGCCTTCAAGGGTCTGGGCCTGTTTGACAGACACACAGGAGGTCAGCACTGAGTGTTCTGTAAGTGGTGACTAAATCATTATATACCGCTGGGGCCAAATACCTGACAGAAACAATTTAATGAATGAACAATTTATTTTGGCACTTGGTTTGAGGAACAGTTCAGTTCACACAGCAGGGAGGACAGGGTAGTGGAGCTCCTTCCTGGACAGTGAGAACACGTGGAAGAGATCCCTCACATGGAGGCTTCCCGGAACACACTAATATAAGAAACAAAGAGTTTGTGTGTTTAAACTATGTTACAATGTATTAATTAACAATACATTTGTAAGATTTAGTGGGTTCAATGACTGCAATTTGTCCCCTTGTAGCCCGGCTGAAACAAATGCAGGTTCTTACTTTCCAATCTTAATTGCTAATATTAACTCAGATCCCACAGAACACACAATAAATATATCCATATCCATAGTATCATATGCAGTTTGCTGAAGGAATGCAAGTCCCAGGCTCCTGCAGAGTTCAAGAGTTTCCAGAAGCAGGCTGAGAGAGGGTCTGCATTGATAAGATAACAAACCAAACCAGCGCTGGGGTGAACAGCTGCTACAGTCAAGGTGTGAGAGTGAAGCTGTTGAGTCTAGGTGCCAGGTGAAAGATCCAAAGGGGTCTGAAGCAGGGAACTGGGGGTTCAGGTCCCAAGGGATGAAAGTAGACTGGCAGGCAGTCAAGGAGGACATATCAACAGAGGGGACTGAGCTCAGATGAAGCTCCTGAGACATGTCGGGGATTGCTGTTTGTCAGTCCTTGACACCAGGTATCAGATGATAGGTTGGTGTGGCCCATGCCATCACAGTGTAAGGTGTCCATCAGTTGGGGATAGGGGGAGGCAAGTGAGGAAATGACACCCTTCTCTTGGTGTCGGGTGTCTGATAAGTTCTTGGGTCAGGTTTCTATGATTTTAATACATTCCTGTGCCCCTACAGCCAAGATTCACACACACACACACACACACACACACTTATGGTGTGGCTCTCTCTCTGTTCCCAGGAAATACTTCTTTATCAGTCTCTACTGGATAGGAAGTGCCTGACAGATGCTACAGTTCTGAGTTCTGCCAGGAGCTGCAGTCTTTCTTCTCCACCAAAATGGAGTCAAAGCAAAGCTGTTTGTGAAATGGCGTCTCCCACAGCAATGTCTACAGCCTCGAAACCCACTGTTTTATGCTGTCTTATACATCATGGAGTTCCTTAGAGTCAGCACACCCTGGCTTCAACAGAGGCTCACTAGAAAATAGAGAAAACAACCCAGAGACAAGAGTAGGGGACCTAGAAAGTTCTGTCCATACTGACCTACTTCTGCCAGAGCCTGGCCCCACCTCCCAAAGGCTTCATAGTGAGTGTGTGCAGCCTGCACAAACAGTCTTTAAAATTAGTACCACAGAGGGCTGGAGATACAGCTGAGAGGTAGATCACTTGCCTGGCTTGTGCAAGGCTCTGAGTTTTATTCCAGCAAAACACACACACACACATACACACACATACACACACACACACACACACACAAATGTCACAAGTTAGGGACTTATCATTTAAAACATGAGCCTGTGAGAAACACTTCAGATCTAAACCTTATGAACAATGGACATATTTTTCTCATTCTGGAGGCAGAAGACTAGACAGATAAAGTAGGCACTATGGGGCTAAGTGGGGTTGTTCTCTCTCTCTCTCTCTCTCTCTCTCTCTCTCTCTCTCTCTCTCTCTCATATGTGTGGTGTTTGTGTGTGTGTGAGCGTGTGTGGCTAAATTTCCTCTTTTTGTAAGGATACCAATCATCTTGAAGCAGGCCCTTCCCCTCAATGACCTCATCCTAACTGGTTACATCTGCAGCGAGGCAATTTCCAAATAAGGTCACATTCTGAAGTCCTGAGGTTTAAGGCTTCAACATATGCATCTTGGAGTATGCAATCCAATCCTTAATGGGAAGGCTTAGCCTCTGCCTCAGTCTGGGAAGATGGAGACAGGCCAGGAAAGCAGGGGCACCCTCTCTGATGGCTGGGGTCTGCATGAAACTCAGAGAAGGTAAAAATCTCCCATTTCAGATGGGACTAAAATAACAGATGAGGCAGCTCACATAGCACTCACATATCCCAGGGATCTTAATGTGCTTTCTGCTGCTACACAATATCCCTGAAGCACAGTGACTTATAAACAACAAAGGCATTCTTAGCTCACAGCTCTGGAGGCTGGACATACAAGAACATGGATTGACTCCTGGTGAGGCCTTCTTAATGCCCATCAAGTGGCAAGACAGCCCTGTTAGGGAGGCTCATATAAACACACACACACATGCACGCACACACACACACACACACACACACACACACACACACACACACACACACA